GATTTATTTCAGAATGTCTTCCGTTATCATAAAATAACTTTTTCCTTACGAAGGCAAAATACTAGCAGTAGAGCCCGGCGTTGCCCGGGGATGTAACAGTAAGAGATAGATCAAGTATCGACCATCATAAAGACTGAAAAATAAAATTGACAAAGATTATTGTTTAAGGTTGACGGACACGCATGTCTTAATTAGTTTTTTTGTTTTTTTTACGAATTGGTCAAACCCAAACTCAAACAAAAACATTGTTTACAATCGTTATGAGTCTATCGATTGGTGAATAGAATTTTATTATAAACAATTGTCTTTTAAATGGAATTTTTAAAACATTCTGAATGTAAAAATAAAGAAAAAAGCTGTAGGACAATAAGAAACACTACCTGCCAAAAAAAAAAGAAGTAAAGTTTTGTTGAAATCGGTTGAAAAATGTAGGAAATCCGATCCCATATATAAACGAACACAGACACACACACACAAACAACCTGGGTATTTATAATAAGTATAACTCGATATGAGTTGTCCCTCTTTCATTTTAGCGATGCCTCTTAATCGTGTTTTCAAATTGATTTCGTGCAAAAACAATTGTGTTTTTCCAATTTTTGGCGCTGTCAGAACCACCGCAAGGTAAGTTTACGTAGTCCCGTGAAGTTTTGTTGAAATCGGTTGAAAAATGTAGGAAATCCGATCAAATATATAAACGTACACACACACACACAACCTGGGTTTTATAACAAGTATGATATATATATATATTATAAACTGTTACATTAGAATATGCAAGTTACCGCGACAACATTTCAAAAGCTTTTGTAGTTTTCTTTCCGTGTCTGCTATAAACACTCTCATCTGCATATCTTATTTTGTTAACATTGTGGTCACCAATAATAAATCCTGGTAGGAAATCTAATTCTCTCAGAATTACCTCGCTGTTTAGGCTGAATAAATTCAGTGAGAAGACACATCTTTGTCTTACTCCATTTCGATTTTCTGTACATCTGCTGAATTCATTTTCCATTGCTAAATAATAGTTTAGCTAATAATTATTTTTTTAGAGAATTGCATTTCTTCTATGACTTCCTCAATTTGACCTTTGAGGTCAGATACAGGAAAACAAAGGAAATCGTTTTTGATTGGCTAAAATTATCATGGGGATGTTGGATGTAGAAAGGGATTTCAGTGAGTTAAGTTTTATATAATCATACAACATAGACGTGTTTTATCGTGTCTGGGAACTTGCTCCCCAGTGGGGGTGATAGAGCAACCCCACTGGCGAGGTTAAAATGTACACGCTGACGTGGTGAATAAAATAATAGTTAAGTTAAAATTCATTTGTTGATGTTCTCTCTTTTACATCCAAACAAAAACTACTAGCGATCAACGATGAGAAAGAAGGCATATTTATGATCGAATCGACCATGTCGACCCAAGACCAAAACCCTCACCAAAGGGCTATACAACACTATTTTATGCAGGAATTTTGCTAGCATTATAGATTCTTGATTATTCTTATATCCTTCCCATATATGTCAAGGTTACTGAGCAGTTCCAACAGATTTTTGAGGCATACTTTATCGAACCCATTGTGTAATCTATAAAACACATGTACATGTCCTTCTGCATTTGTATTGCTCTTTCTGGTGACATCCTGAGCGGTCCTCGTTCCAGGGATGTTAGAATGAAGAAATAAATCAGGGCAATTTAGCTAATCATTATACCACGACGAAGAGTCTATTATATCTGACAAAACATGTCTTTTCTTTCCGTGATTTAGTCTGTGTGTTTTATTCGTACTTTTGAAGCTAAATTCAGAGAAAAGAAATTTATGTGTGTGCATGATTAGCACATGGTCACGTAATATTGGGTGATCAAAAGTAAGTCAAACAAACACGCCAGAAATCAATGTGTATGAACCAGAAATAAAAAACGACAAACACAGAGAAATTCTCATCAAATAAAAAATTTCCCGTTCCAAATATAAACGAACAACTTCATAACAATGAATATGTACGACTTACAGTTCGTGTTTATTTATTTATAACTTTACTGTATTTATATAATAGAAAAAGGAAATAAAAGTTTATGGCGATCACTGTTTTTATTTAATAATATTCACGATAACTACAAGCAAAATTAAGTAAAGACAAATATTTTAAACAAATTTTCAATCACAATTTAAGTGATTATTTTACATACTATTTCTTCCATAAACCTGGCACGTCACCAGTGTGTGTGTGTATATATATATATATATAATAGAATTTATTAGGAGGATTTGATAGTTATATTTAATCAATTCATCGAGTCTGAAAGAAACCTCAACAGAATGCAGAAAGCACTAAACGGCCGTTTTGCCCTGTATTTGGGACTCATCAGCAGTGCGCATCCACTACCGAGAATTGAAACCCTGACAGTTAGGTTGTTAAGCAAACATCATACCAACTGTTCCAATTGGCCTCGGTGGTATGATGTTTGCTTGACAATCTAACTGTCAGGGTTTCAATTCTCGGTAGTGGATGCGCACTGCTGATGAGTCCCAAATACAGAACAGAAATATAATATATATATATATATATATATATATATATATATATATATATATATATATATATATATATATATATATATATATATATATATATATATATATATAATTGGTATATACAATTCCAATAACCAACAATTACTATTCTTAAAAGAGTGCTCAATACAAAGTAGAGCAGATATAATTATATTTTTTAAACATTTATAACATAAATATCACTTGATAAGACACCAGGGTGTTGAAACAAAATGGTTATTTTTGTAGTGATTTTATAACATATTTATGTTATAAATTAAAAAAATAATTATATATATAGATATATATATATATAGCGAAAGTTTAGGCTGTTTAAGATAAACGGAACGTCTACTCAAATATTGCCATCCACTAAATACTACGTTTAAAGTAATATATATATATATATATATATATATATATATATATATATATGATATAATGATATATAATGTTGTATAATTTTATATATCAACAACCAGTATTTAAAAAATATATGGCAGTTTGTCATATATATAAAAGTGGACATTGAGGCCAACACACAGTGGGGACAGTTTGTTTCATGCAATCTTCAGGCGATTTGTGTTGTGCTTTGGCTCAAATATTTAAATATGCTGGTTAGTGGTGCACTATGGGTAGGTCTATAAAATAGACTGTCACCGCTGAGTGTTGACCGCAATGTCCACTTTTATATTTACATACGCTCTATCCCTGATATTGAGCATTCTAACCCATAAATATAGATTACCTTAAAACTATATTTTATCATGTATGTATGTGTGTGCATGCATGTGTTAGTGTGTGTGTACAGTTGTGCTAATTTGTATATGGGTAGCAATCCCATTTTAATACATGTTTTGTTAAACAAGACTGTCAAGGAATTTTCATTTAGTCTTTTTTCCTTTTTTTTCATCTTTTTCTGGAATTTGTCTAAAAATTGTCAAAACTTTTATTGGTTCCGAGCGCTTTCGATTAAACGGTTAACCGCTTTCAAAGATTATGTTTGTTTGTCATATTACTCTAATAAATGGTGTGTAAGTGCTGTCGTAATTAGTATAAAATTTCCTGAAAGTACGTATGTTCTTAATTCACCAATATGGCCAGTACATTATGCATAATTAATATTATTAAGGGTTGGATTCTTGATTTTTATAACTAAGGGGTTCCATCCCTTTTAAACTATTTTTGAAATGGGAATCACGTATAACATCCATATTGTCGACGAGTATCTTGCCTATTGAGTTTGGTGCGATTCAATGCTGGTTTAAATATGTCCGTATTGAGCTCTGGTCAGAGAGGTGTAACGTCAGTCGTCTTCATGTGGATAGTGGTGTGTTCAACATAATTATTCACGGGCTTTTGTCTTCGTCGGGATCGCAGTTCCTCATAGGGCATCTAAATTCACGATGTTGATCTGATGTAGCTTTGATTTCGTTGGCGAACTTTTATTTCTGATAATAAGGTTAAATGTATTTAATTTTTTATTGTAGATAATCAATTTGATGTTTTTAGTTTGTTCAGCAAGAGTTTTACAGTTTTTAATAATGATTCTTAAAGCCAATTCATACTGCTTTTTTGTGCAGCTGGCTACAATAAAATGTTAATTGTTCTGATGAACTTTTCTCTATGGTACCTAGACTTTATGAATTTAAGCGAAGTACAAAATTGGCGACAGGTCTTCTCATTTTGCACTTGGAATGGTCAGATTTAACCGAAAGTTGTATGCTAACAGTTTATTTCTGGCACTTATCGAATGTAGAACTCTCTTCTGGCTTCTGGCTTCACAATCAACTTAGGTCTTTAAAAACTTAAATGCGATGGCAATCGTTATCTTCTGTCTCCTCAATTTGTCTTCTTTTATTGTCTTCTCTCCTTAATAGTATATTTTTCTCAACATTCTCTAACACTCAGTTAGACCCTTGCTTATTGCTTTGCTTGTGGTGAAATATTAATAAATATATATTCTTTATCAACATGGTTTGAGAAATTATTGTTGTTAAGTGTTTTATGTTACTTAATTCTTTATAAAATAAAATGTCCAAAAAGGAAATAATTTTCATACGGTCAATCCTGTTTTTTTTTATACCATCTATTTTACAGCTGTGTTTTAGACATTCGCTTTTGGATTGAGCCTTACATACTATTTTGGTGTTATCTATTCAAATTTGTTTTATGTTAACATTGTTAAATGTGAAAATGATTTCCTCCTCGGATATAATATTTTATAGAGAATTATAGAGAAACAACATAATACATAATAAATTTGGTGTAAAGAAATTAACAAGGTTTTCAGTTTCCCTTTATTGCACTGTGCCTGAGGCGTCTCCAAAAGGGGTAGTACCGAAGGGGGGGGGGTTAAGCAATTTTTTTCACGCTATTGCCGTTAAACCAACTTTAAATTGAGTTTGCTGAGACGTAGGTGCAATGAAAAAATTACCCTTAAATGAGTGTGTTATTGCCTCCTCTATCTTTTCTTTCTTTCTTTATTTCTTTTGTTCGTTCTTTCGATCTTTTTTTATTCTTTTGTTCTTTCTTTCTTTCATTCGTTTGTTCATTCTTTCATTCTTTCTTTTTTTCTTTTGATTCGTTTGTTCTTTCTTTCATTCGTTCGTTCTTTCATTCGCTCTTTCATTCGTTCGTTCTTTCATTCGCTCTTTCTTTCATTCGTTCGTTCTTTCTTTCTTTCATTCGTTTGTTCGTTCTTTCATTCTTTCTTTTTTCCTTTCATTTGTTCTTTCTTTCTTTCATTCGTTCGTTCTTTCATTCGCACTTTCTTTCATTCGTTCGTTCTTCCATTCGTTCGTTCTTTCATTCGCTCTTTCCTTCATTCGTTCTTTCTTTCTTTCATTCGTTTGTTCGTTCTTTCATTCTTTCTTTTTTCCTTTCATTTGTTCTTTCTTTCTTTCATTCGTTCGTTCTTTCATTCGCTCTTTCTTTCTTTCTTTCATTTCGTTTGTTCGTTCTTTCATTCTTTCTTTTTTCCTTTCATTTGTTCTTTCTTTCTTTCATTCGTTCGTTCTTTCATTCATTTGTTCTTTCATTCGTTCCTTCTTTCATTCGTTTTTTCATTCGTTCTTTCTTTAATTCGTTTATTCTTTCATTAGTTTGTTCTTTTTTTTTTACTTTCCCTAAAATCAAACAACGCCTTTGATATATCTTTTATTCTGTCTGTGCTCGAAATCAAACATTTTATTCCTAAATAAATAAGGAACAAGCAGAACGCACACACACACACACACACACACACACATATGTGTGTGTGTTTGAACCGTAAGATTCACCTCTATCCTAACGATCATCCCCATCCGCGCAATGTCCAGTCTCTGCATCGTCATTTTGCTTTGTTAGCAGAAGCGATTTTCTTGTGGTCGAGGTCTTACTGTACTTAACACGACCTATTAATTCTCTCGCCAAAAGATGCCTTTTTAAGGTTTCTTACAAAACCAAAAAGCAGCATGTGCAGGGGAGGGGGTGGCGACATGTGCCTGTCACAAAAATCGAAATCCTCCTCAATTTCGATCCAACTCCGACCGACAGACGATGCCAAACATAGGCACTTTCCCTTTTAGCGAAGGCGATACCCCGGTGAGTCAGTTCTAGAATAGAATGCGCGTATGCGTATAGATCAAAACAAAGCTATAAATAAATTGATCGATTATCTTTATAGATATAAAGAAAGCAAAATATACATGAAATTCGGCGTCTCTACGTTAAATACTAAAAGTGTGAAACTTTAATATCTTTAAAGCTGAGTCGCTAATTACTAATTTGTCTTTATTGGACACATTTTGCATATTAGATAATTGATTTTTTTAAAATCTAATTATGAAAATAATACTATGTTAAAGAAATACAATCGTAAACTCTTCCATGAAATTATGAGGTTGTTTATGATAACAAATTGCTTCTTTTCCTGATTAACAAGATAGCCCGAGTTTTGTCTGGCACAAAGCAGCGAAAATAGCAAAACCAGTTTATGCTTATTCTAACTTGTAAGTACTTTTATTCAAAATGCGTGTCTTTATTTAAACCTCAACTACTTGAATTCAAATTTAGAACTATACGGTCATATTATGTTGAAACACCGGTTCTCGTATGATCAATGAAGTTAAGCAAGGTTGTGGTTGGTCAGTACCTAGATGGGTGACCAGGTAAGCGTCTAATTGTGGGTGGTATAATAGACAACCACCTCGGAATTGTAAATCGAAGAGCAGAGTTCGAATTCTAGTCGGGTTTGTTATATTCACTTGGAAAAGGTATGAATCCACCTGTTCTTCCCCAAGCTGTGGGTTAATTAATAGGAATTGTATCAGAAAATCTTTATTATCCTTCCCAAATTCTTACAATCTAAAAATATTTTCTGGCTATAAATAACCCGCAAATCGTTGATAAGCCATAACAAAATCAATCAATCAATAGAAATACTTACTCTATTTTCCTCCATATAAAAAAGAACCCTGCATCTTATATCCTGAATGCTTGGGTTATTTGTTCTATATTCAGGCTTAAACACCTAAGACCTACGCCAATCAACGAACATCATACAAATATTTACTAATTTTTAAAGAATATCAGTTACAAAAGTAGGTATGTCTTAGAGAAAAATTAAAATGAAAGAAATACGAATAAAAAAATCAATTATGGTTGACAACGATTCATCAAATTTACTAAAATAAAATAATAATAAAAATAAACATTGATTGGATTTGATCTGTAGTAAGCAGGTGACGAATGTTGGTCTTTTGCCAGAAGTTTTCTTTTTTCCAAATAACCCCATTAACACATACTGTGTGTATGCAAAAACACAGACACATTTTTTCAGATAGTACTGTGAGAAAGTTCAATGTGTAACTCTCATTCTTTTCTCTATGTTATGGGTGTAACTTTAGTGACAATATCAATTGATATTCTGTTTTCCCTTGAAATAATGATTTTCTCAGAGTGGGATTTATTTTCGTGACTCGTTATTCTTTAAATATGGTAAATATTTGCACGGTTTAAGACGCAGCCTTCATCGAACCAACAGCCAAACCCAGGTAAAAGGAAAGTTAAAACAGAACAAATGAATATTACCCGTCTTTCTTTATCTCCTTGCAAAGAAGAGTACATTTGAATTTATAGGATTGATCTCTTTGAACAAATGTTGTAGTTCATATATATATATATATATATATATATATATATATATATATATATATATATATATATATATATATATATATACACTAATAAGCAGGTATTTTGCTCCTATTGTTGGCCGAAACTAGTCGATGATCCTAACTGAAATAATAAAACAAAAAATATTATTATACAACCCAGTGTGTCTGAAAATTTTAATTTTTTAATATTTTTTTATTGTTCAAAACATATGTGTGTGATAAAAAATATAGTTTTAAGGTACGCTATATTTATAAGAAAAGTGCTCACTATCAGAACTAGAGCGTATTTAGGTATAAAAATATATAAGTAGACATTGAGGCGAACAGTGAGCGGTGACAGTCTGTTTATTACTTGAAAGCAGTACTTATATATATAGTTCTATATATTCATTTCTTCCAGCCTAATTTAACTTTGAAGAGAAGAATATATAGAAATATTCACGAAATAAATTATAACCGAAATGGATCGTTAAGGCTTCTTCTTGACATATTATAATTATTATGCTTTATAGTTTACATTGAGCTCTCTCTGGATTAATATCCTCCTGGGATTCATCCCTACCAGTCACAAATGTATATATATATATATATATATATATATATATATATATATATATATATATATATATATAAAGAAAGAACAGTAAGATATATAATCCGGTGTTCTTATAGATATTTTTATTTTTACAAAATAGTGTTCAATGTAAATTTACAGAGCACTAATATTATAAATTAATTGATTTAAAATATGGTTTTTCCGCTACACAGTTCTAAGCATGTTTCAAAAATGGAAGCTAAGCTCCAATTTAATTTTGTAATTAAATTAAATTAAAGACATTAGTTCCATTTCATCCTCAAGCGAATTTTGAGTCTGTCTGTCTGTCTCTCTGTCTGTCTGACTGTCTCTCTCTCACACACACACACACACACACACACACACACACACACACACACACACACATATATATATATATATATATATATATATATATATATATATATATATATAGAGAGAGAGAGAGAGACAGACAGAGTTAATATCAGTAAAAGATTTGTCACTTAGCTGATTAATGGTACCTTCAACATCCCTACTCCAGAGTTTTATAGAGGGACCTGTCTGTCCACTCGTCAGTGGGTAGCAGCAATTGACTGCTTATACTGATTTTTCTTTTTTTTTATATGCACTTATGCAAGTTTTTTTCAAAGTGTGTGTGTGTGTGCATGCGTTCTTACGCGTGCGCTAATGCGCCCGTCTGCGCGGATGTGCGTGCGCCTATCTGCGCGGATGTGCGTACAAGTAGCCTTTTCTCTCTCTTTTTTTTCTTTTTCCTCTTTTCTTTCAATTGTTACCATGTGTTGCTATTGAGTGCTGACGGTAATAATATAGACCTCGATGTATAACAAGCGAACAATAATTTATATTAATAATAAATATATATATGTTTTCCTCACCGGTAGCGCAACTTGGTAGTTACACACACATTGCAATCGATTGCATCGTGCATGAAACACAAGAGGAAAAACAGTATATTTATTATTAATATACAGTGGGGGTAAATAAATATTCGTACACATGAAAAATTGTATTTTTATAAATGTAAAACAAATTTTGATACATTTTATGTGTAAAGATACATTTTAGTAAAAAATAGTAATAAACTTAATTAATTCTTATTCTAACAGAAATTAATGCATTTTTTTCATTTTAACTGATGAAAAAGGTATTCGTACAAAACCAAAAGAGCATATTAACTTAATTTAATACTTTGTGGAATATCCTTTATTGAGTTCAACAGCTACCAGTCTATTCCTGTACGTCTCAACTAATGACTTGTACACATTGAGTGGTATTTTGTCCCATTCTTCTTGGCATACTGTCTTCAAATTTTTTATATTTGTTGGTGCTCTTTCCCCAATTTGAATTTTCAAATATCGCCATAAATTCTCGATTGGGTTCAAGTCTGGGGACTGACTTGGCCATTGCAAGACATCGACGTTACTTTCAGCTAACCATTTCCTTGTAGATCCTTCTTGCCATCTATTATTGATATTCTGCCAACACCTTTTGCAGAAAAACAGCCCCAGATCATGATACTGCCACCACCAAACTTTACAGTTGGCAACGTGTTTTTTGGTAAGTAGGCTTCACCGTCCTTCCGCCACACATGATTTCGATAATTATGACCAAACAACTCTATTTTAGTTTCATCTGTCCACAGTACTTTTTCCCAAAACGAATATTCTTTATCCTTATGCTCTTTAACGAATTTTAGCCTAGCATCTCTATGCCGTTTCAAGAGGAGTGGAGTCTTCCTTGGGATGCGTGATTTCAAACTGTTTTTGTGTAGTTCATTACTTATTGTACGCTTGGTTACTTTAATCCCTAATGCACGCAGATGTTCCTGCAGCTCTTCTCAGGTAACCTGTGGATTTTGTTGGATCTAGTGTCCTAATATCCTTGCTGATCTTAAGGAAATCTTCCTCGGAGCACCTGTTCGTCTTTGGTGTTCGACGCTGTTACGAGTTTTAAACCTTGCAATGAACGAAACAATTGTAGTAAAAGGAATATTCAGGTTGTTAGAAATCGTTCTGTAACTGTTCCCATCTTTCCAAAGAGACAAAATGTGTTGTTTTTGCGAAATAGTCAATTCTTTACCTTTAGACATTATTAGAACCTACTCGTAAGACTAGAAATTACAGAATGCTCTGATAATGGCTAATAGCGTTAACTATAATTACTGATAACATTACTGGAACATTCTAGAATATACTTTTTTCATAATTAATTGATTATTTTATTCTAATAATTGATTTGTACGAATACTTTTTTCACCAGTTTGAATTAAAAAAATGCATTACTTTCTGTTAGAATAAGAATTAAGTTTACTATTATTTTTTAATAGCATGTGTCTTTATACATAAAATGTGCCGAGATTTGTTTTATTTACATTTATAAAAAATACAATTTTCAAGTGTACGAATATTTATTTCC